GGCGACATTCGGGGCTGTGCCCACTGGTAGTTTACCAGCATCCGAGGCCTCTGCTCAAGGCTGGCAGCAAACCCACAGCCCCCGAGCCGATCCGGACTCACTGCGACCCCACACGGGGTTCCCTCAGGGGCTTCTCAGAGACAGGGAAGGTGGGGCGGAAACGGGGGACAGCTGCCAATGCCACTGAACAATGTGTGCATGAAGTGTGCGTGTGCTGTGTGAACTTTCTCCCTAAAACGTTGGGAGGAAAAATAAAGAAGGTAGAAGGCTCTGAAGACACCCACCCCTGGCTCGGCATGGCAATTCCAGCCGAGGAAAGCTCCTGGACAGTCCTCCTCTGTCCTTGAGGGTCACAGGACTTGACGCGGCAGTCGACAGAGCACTGCACTCAGCAAACATGTCCCACGCCACTTTTGGAAGCGACAGGAAGCAAGAAGGTTCCTTTAAGGACCAAGGCGCCCCTGACAGCAAGCCAGGGTATTTTCGATGCATTTGAACTGTGGGGCTGGAGAACAATGTTGAAAGGACCAGAAGGACAAAGAGACCCGTCCTGGACGAAGTGCCATCAGAAAGCTCCTAGAAACAAGGATGAGGAGACTGTCTCCTGCACTGGGAACGTGCTGTCAGGCCAGCGTGGGCCTTGGACATCATGCTGGGTCATAAAAAGAGGCACAAGGAGTGGACACAGACTGCAACCCGGGGCTCACACCTAAGAACAACTGGGCGGATGGCGCAGGGCCTGGTAGTGGTTTGTTCTGTTGTCCGTAGAAAGGGTCGTTATGAGTTAGAACCAACGACTATGGTACGCGTTGGACTCAAAGTGGCAATACGACGACAGGGCTCTTCTGCTGTCCATGACTACGGGTGGACATGGGGTAGGGCTGTTAACCTGTGCCTCACACAATTTCAACTACACAGACAACAGCATCCCTGACAAACCCCATGTTTGGGTTTCTCCACCCTTGCAAAGGCCAGGATCCCTGTCCTGAGCCAGGGTCCCGAAAACAGGATTGCAAGCGAACGCAGACGCCGTCACGTACACGCCGCGGCCGCCAGGGGGCCTCACCCTCACCTGGTAGCGGTTCAGCCGGTCCTGCTTCATCTGCTCAAACCTGCGCTTCAGCTCATTGTGGCGCTCGATGCGCTTCTGGGCCCGGCCCGCGTAGAGCACCTGCCCGCTCACCTCCTTCCCATGCACCATCTTCACCGCCTGCAGGGGAGGGGGGTTGGGGGAAAGGTGCTGGGTGACCAGGCTGGCTGTGGCCCAGCCCCATCGCAGCAGGCTACCGGCAGGCCCACATGGACTTGTTCACCAAAAAAACCCCCAAAGCAAAACTCACTGCCATCTCGTTGAGGGCGACTCCCGGCAGCTCTATAGGGCAGGTGGAACTGCCCTGGAGTTTCCAAGTCGGTAGCTCTTTAAGGAGCCGAAAGCCCAGTCTTTCTCCCGCAGGGCGGCTGGTGGCTTCAACCCCCCGACCGCGGTTAGCAGCCCAGTGCACCACTACTATGCCACCAGGGCCTCGTTAGCTGAGACTCATTAGCACCGGGAAATGGTCCACTCAGAAGAACAAATCCACTTTTTAAAAACAGAAGGCAACATTTCTGGGTAAACTGTGGGTAGACGCCTTGAATTAGGGCTCCCCTCTTGAAAAGAAAACTGAAATTCAGGAGAAAGCTCCATTCTGAAGATTTAGCTTCTAGCCACTGCTGCACACCCATTGTTTGAGCAAAGCAGCAAGCGTGATTCTTGCAAAACAGCAATGGCGCCACCTCATGTTTGATTTCACAGCACACGAACATGCTTTTTCATTAGGGAGTCCTGGTGACACAATGGTTAAGCACTTGGCTGCAAACCAAGAGGTTAGTGGTTCGAACCAGCCAGTGGCTTCTCGGAAGAGACCTAGGAATCTTCCCTGGAAACCCTTTGGACAGTTCCACTGTCCCCGTGGGGTCGCTGTGAGTCAGGATCCCGTGACAGCTCACAACAAAGGCATTTGTTTCGTGAACATTTTTAGAAACTCAGGTCTTCACCTTGATCGGGTTTTTTCCTTTTCGTTTA